TGTAACGATTAATTGAAACCTCAGCCTTGACCACAAAAATTTCCCAGCATCTGTGTCATGTAATATCAGTAGCCTGTTTTGAAGAAAGACTAAGCATACGTGGCATCAAATGTAGTCTATAGGCTACCAGGTCACATTTTATTAGGGTCCGAGCACTACAGTGTGTAGGACCCTATTGTAACCCTTGTGATAATTTTTGTACTGACTTTTGAAATGCGATTTTTAAGGGCCTAAACATGCATAGAAACTCACCAAAATAGCCACACACATCAGGACTGGGGAAAATTTTGATATTTTAAGGCAGCTGGACATGTCAATGCCAAAATGGCTCCACAGCGCCACCTTGAAAATTTCAACTGAGTCCCATCGGAAGCATGTTTGACCTAGACCTACGCAATTTGGTATGGAGGAGGTCAGGGTGAACAAAAAAGTCAGTGACAACCATACCCTAAACCCAACAGGAAGTCCGCCATTTTGGATTGTTTGTTTGTCTAACTTGAGCTAAGTCCTCCTATGGGGTAAGTCACAGAACACTGTAATTTGGGTAGTATGTAGAATAGGCCTTGAAGGTAAAATGTTTGTGTCAAATATGTCAAAATCATCTGCAAAGGTTATAGGGCGTGGCCTCGGCAGCCCTCTGATTTTTGATCTCTCACCATGACAGAGCAAGTACTGTGTAACTACCCTGTACATGCTCCAATCTGCCTCAAACTTTTCACATTTGATCAGACTGCTGTCGTGATCACATCCATATCCCCAAATCCACAGTCATAGCGCCACCTATTGGTAACAGGCTGTTTGTGCCATTGTTTCAAACTTTGTGATATTCTTAAAATTGGTCAGCTAAGTCTTCCCACATTGACGATACTACAGTGCGAAGCCTTTGCGTTTTCAAGCAATGCCGTTGTCGTGGCTATGCATAGTTACTTTGACATGGAAAGGACTTTAAGGAAGGACAACAAGTTTAAGTAAAGTATTAGGAGATGGATGAACATATTAATGTTTTAAGTGTTTTCATTTAATTTGTTGGTAAAATATTCATCCTGTGGAAAAAGCAAGAATGGC